CTCAAGCATGATTTCATGGACCCTCATCTCTCCTCACAATTACTTCCACTTGAAAAAAAGAGAGAGAAAAGAATTTATATTAATAAAAAAAACAGTAACAATTAGCTTTACATCAAATTTTTCGAGTTGTCTTGGTGATGCGTTTTAATCATCATTAATTTCTGTTGATTGAGTGTGCATGGCACGGCCCCATTTAATTAAGAGAATTTTCTGTGCTCCCTGCAGCGCCACAATCGCATTAACTAGATGAAAATCAATGAATTAAGATTCATAATTAGTTGACTTAAATGTTGGTTTGTGTTAGTGGAGGAGATATTAGTGGTTGACTGCATGCAAGCACGACAACAATAAATTTAATAAATTTCTGCTTTTAACAACAATTTCTATGAGTGGATGGATAGGAAAATACAGTTTTCAAAGACAGGGCTGATCTGATCTGGGCGGAGGATTTGGTATGAGCAATAAAAGCAGCAATTGAATTGAGAAGGAGGGAACTGCAAGTCCACGATGTAGGTAAGATAGTTCAATTCCTTCATCTATGGTATCTATCTCTAATTTATTAATGTTGCCCGCTCAATCTGCTTCTTTGACTTCATTCAATGTCATCTCTATATGGTCCTCCGCTCTGAAGTGAATTCTTGCTGTTATAATTGTCAACTTGACACCCTCAAGATAAATTCCTAAAACGACATTTGGTGCTCTAGGGGGACAGTCTAAAATTACTCAAAGTAAATTTGACGCACAAGGAGTTTGTACTTCGAGTGATTAAGAACATTTATCTCTTGTTTTTTTCGGTGTGCAATATTAATGAAGTGACTTTTACACAAAGAAAAAGAGTATTTACCCTTATACTTGAGACTTATTTCACAATGACCTTATGAATTCTAAAAAATTCACAGCATTTAATTAAAGTTAATTGTTAAAAATTCACAGCATCTAGATGGTAATTTCAACCCTCTTTTGATTGTGTACTGAACTCATTTGAATTTTGAGCTGTCGACCTAGTTTTCCGTGGTTGGTAAGAACACAGTACTTGCCACAGTGCCACTGCATAAAACGTTAAGATGTGTTTATTGGTCTTTTGCGAAATTCCTAATTCTTGCTGTTACAATTGTCAACTTGAAAGATCTCTCAACCCTAAAGATAAGTAAGAACACAGCATAAAACGTTAAGATGCTTGCAAGTGCTACTACATAAAACGTTAAGATGTGTTTATCGGTCTTTTACGAAATTTCCATATATATGCTCAGCTTTATGTTTCTTCTTCTACTTTCTAAAACAAGAAAATGAGTCACGTACGTAACACATGTTTCATACACTTTTCTCTCTAATTATGTGATGAGATAGATAGAAGAAAGAAAAGAATATGAAACATATTAATCACTTGGAAGTTTTACTCGTAGAGGTAGCGATCATAATCAAGAGGTTTGTGTCGTAATTTCTAAGTGTCCATGTCTATATTTTTTTCTTGAAAAACTAAAAAAGAAAAAGAGAAAAAGCATTGCCTTCATTGTGTGTTCATCTCAAATATTGATAACGGCTAATCTTAAAGCATGTACAGTTTGAAAGTGTATAAATCTATTGAAATTATTATATCTTCCTTAATCTTCTTTTTTTGTTGATAAATATCATCCTTAATCTTAAAAAAATTATTTAAAGTACTAAAAACATACTTGACATAGAAATCTTAGAGGCATTAATTATTTTTCGTAATCTTCTTGTTGTCCTCTTACAAGAAAAAAGAAAAATGACCTTGTTGTCAAACGAATAAGAAAACGATCGAAATAAATAAATAGATGGAGCATTAGGTTTTAGACCAGTCAAACAAGAATTTGTGATTGCATTGAAATCACGTGCAACCAATGATAGAATATCAGAACCCAGTTACTATTTAACCTAGCATCAATGCAAATGATGGAGACACGAGGGTTGATGGATGTCGTAAAAAGCAAAAGGGTCCAGACGTGAGTCCTGCACTCCATCTCCATAACATTTGAAAAATCCAATCTACGCAGCAGAAAACAAAGCTGTAAAGGGGACTGCAAATTTTCTGGCCTTTAGGTTTGTTTTATTTTTACCATAAAGTTGCTGTTAAATTATTCTTGCAGAAAGTCTACATGCTATATTATATTAGCAGTGGCGATGACGACGATTTTATCCAATGACAACAACGTTCTTCACTTCATTGAACGATATTTAACTTTAAAGTTTTAAGAAATAATTCAAGCATTTTATCTCGGCTTTTTATCACAAAATGTCATAGGTTTATGAAAGTATGAGCTATATAGCGCTTATCGTTTTACGATTTAGAATCAAATTATTTGAGAACGGGCGTGGGCTTGAACTTGATTGATACACAGAGTGCATGTTAGAATGTTGTGATTAGGTAGTGAAAGAGAATTGTCAAAAAAATACGCAACTTGATGGATGCTTTCCAATGATATGCCGACATATATGAGGTTTGGTAGGGTCACAAAACTGAGAATTGAGAAAAGGGTTGTTCCTGCTTTAATAATGCAATTGCCTCACGGGCCCTTATTCTTCATAATTGTTCAACCAATCTTTGGATATGTATGTACCGCTGGTTTTGCCCTATCAGTCGGGGGGGTCAAAAATTCAAGATTTCAAGTACATGCATGATGCATGGTAATGGCATCCTATCTCATTATGTTCTTTATGCAATCCACCAACCAACAAAACAAGAACATCGCACTTTCCACAAACGTTCTTTTGTCCTCTTTGATCAATTTTGCTTGAAAGGGCATGGATTTGTATCCCATTAAACTTTAGTGGTGGTTAGTCTTCCATATTACTTGATTATCCGGAAAGTTTAATTTTGCTCACCACCTTTAACCACGACGCGTGATTATCATTCAACTCATCCGTTTCACGTGTTATACGTATTAATTATGGTTAAGTTTTTGTTGTAAATACAATCTCATATGTTAATCATGGTTAAGCATGTTGAATGACTTATAAGTACTTTAATTAAGAAGAAGTAGTTGGTTCAGTGTTGAAAAAGGAAGTCCAAAATTTGGATCCTCATGAAAATCAGAAAATCTGGCATTGACCAGCAGCAGTAATTGGGACCGGCCCTGCCCAACAGCCAGGCCTGGGTCTATTGCCCTATAATATATTTTTTTGTAGTTGAAATGCGTTAATATCTATCATATCATGTTAAAAGTTGGGTACGCACTGATTGCACCATGTCTATGCTTTGCTTTTTTCTTTTTTAAATGAAAAAGAAAGAAAAAAAAGGTTTCGTTTAGTTTTATTCAAGCATCTCTGTCTCTCTCTGTATTTTGAAATCAGTGTTCGATTGGTCATCTGAGTAATATTCGAGTCCAAGATCAGACCCATAGCAGAAAAACCTTAGTTCAAGACCTGTCCGGAAAAGTAACAAGTACCTTATCAGGCCAGCCCTTTCGGATCTTGGCTCCCTTCAACATGACCCAGTTCAGCTTTTTTGTGAGCCTCATCTACTAATAAGAAAAAACTGGACCTATGTAGATGGGCTTTCATCTTTTTAATGGGCCAAGGTCTAAACAAAACAGAAGAACAAGGAACCAATGCTCGGTGGGTTGTTTTTTTGTCAGAGTTATAGTTAGGAATGGGAGGGGGGCAACTCACACACAAGTATATCATGGGAACTTGAACTCAAAAAGCATGCTAAAAGACTGTCCCAATCCAACTCCAGCCCATTGGTGTGAGTTATACTTCATTGTTTGGTTTTAAGGAGTGGTTACTTTGAGAAATAAATAGGTAAATATAGAATCCACACAACAATATTTATTAATTGATATGGTATGATTATATCAGCTGCTATATAAGTAGGTTGGTAAGTTAATATGGTCATTTTTGCGTGTCTAAATAGCATTACTGCCCTTTCTTTCAGATTAACTAAAAAACCCTAGCCCTCTTTCTCCCAAAAAACACTCTTAGAGCCTTTTCCACTTTGAGGGGGGAGGATGCCATTTTTCTTCCCCCCTCTCCCCTCTTCTCTTCCTCCTTTCACCTCTTCCCCCATTTTCAGAGACAAAGGGTTTCCCTATTTGTCTTAGTTTTGTTATGATTTTCATCTAATCATTATAGGCGGCTGCGGCTCAGCGTCGAATCTTCACCTGCATTTCGGCGTCGCATCTCCACCACCATCTTTTTTGCAATTTCTTTATGTTTGGAATAAGTTGCATAGACTCTTTGGGTTCTTTGTGTAGTTTTCATATCTCCTTTATGATAGCTTTTCATCTCTCCTTTGTGAGAGTTTTATTTGTATTGTTATGGCTTGGTTTTTTCAAGCTTTATCTTTTTTTCATTATTCTAAGTTTGCAATCTTAGTTGGGATGTCTATGCCAGAGTTTCTTCGATCTTGCCTGATCATTGGTGGAGACACACCAGATTGTCTTAATTTTGATATTAGATCGCTGCATTATTGTAATAACCCTTTTGTGGCTAGTTTGTATTGGCCCTTTGTGGCTAGTGACTTTTTTGGTTGAATTATGAATGTAATCATAGAATTTCTCAACCAAAAAAAAACATTACTGAGTGGTCAATTTTGTGTGTCTAAATAGCATTAATGATAATGAAGAAATATTGAAGCAAGGAATAACCAATATTCTTGAGGAAATTACAAAATCAACCTACAATATATTTGTTATTGTTTTTGGTATTTTAGCTGGGTTTTGCGAAAGGTCTGTTAGAGAAGAAGAGCGGAATAGAGAAATAATAAAAGAATACTCTGCTCACTCACACAGTATGTGAGCAAACGATTTTTGTATATATTTTTGTCTGTAAGAATGAGCTCATACGGCATGTACTACATGAATCTCAACCATCCATTTGTCTCAATTCTAGAATCACTGCACATGGCTATTTTAGCCTTACATCTTTTGAAATCACACTTGGCAGATATGCTCAAGTGAATACACAAATAAAATTCATCTTATTTCACTAATACTAGTCAGCTATAGACTTATAATTCAACAATATTTCCTCTCTCATCTCTAATCAACACATTCATAAAGATGAGCACGAAGGCGTGGGGTGAGAAGAACCTCAACTGGAGTGGCCTTCATGTTGGTCATTCCAAGCGTTTCACCCATATCGATTGGTTCATCTGAACCTGATGGAGTTGCAATTTCAAACCCATGTAACAAATGAGCCAGCGTAAGTTGTACAACTTGAAGAGCCAGAGAAATTCCGGGGCATATTCTCCTACCACTTCCAAATGGCATGAACTTCTGGCCTCGAACATCAAAATCCTTGTGAGTTGTAAGAAATCTTTCTGGTTGGAATTGGTCAGGGTCGACCCAAACATTTGGATCTCGCTGAATCTTGGAAAGATTGACTAGAAGGCGCGTCCCGGCCTTTACATGATAGTTTGCCACAGTGCAATCTTCCATGCATTCATGTGGCACAGAAAGTGGTGCAGCTGGATATAGTCGCATGGTCTCTTTGACAATGGCTTGGAGATAAACTAGGTTTTTTACATCTGTTTCCTTCACTTGCCTTTCCCGACCAACATGCTTGTCTAATTCATGTTGAGCCTTCCTTAAGGCTTCACGGTTGTTCAATAGTAAAGAAAAAGCCCATGTTAATGTCACTGTTGTGGTGTCTGTTCCTCCTAAAATAAGAGCCTGCAAATTAAGCACATGACAATGACATTAATTAAACAATATTAACCCCAGCACATACTGCAAGCCGTAGCTCAAATGGTTAAGAGTATTTACTCATGCACCAGATCTCTTATAGGTTCAATTGCACCCTCACCCAATATTACTTGTATAAAATAAGGACTTGTCCAATATAAGTCCCTACATTTTCTATTTTCTAGACATATATCCATAACTCTATAAATCTATGTGTAAAACCCAATTTCACAACAAAATTTCAAAAAAGCAATAAGGAAAATTGCATTTTCCGGCCCACATATTGTTAAATGTATTGATGAATTTTAATAATAAAACGGATAATTAATTGCAGACAAAATTTTTAGAGGGAATCACCACAATAAATTTGAAATATAAATAGGGGTATTTTGGCAATCAAAAAATTATAATAAATCAGAAATTGAGTTTAATAAGGTAATTTGATGAGTGAGATCCTAGTAATTGGTTTGTACTTAAAAAAATTGAGTATTATTTATAGGAACAAAAAGTGAAGAGTTGCAGATAAGGTAAATTGAATTTGAAGGGTGTAAGCCAAATTTACTAAAATAAATAAATAAATGAAACCCCGTTATATACCAGACAAGTAGCTTTGTTGATTGTATCAGCAGATGTACTAGTAGAAGCTGGAATGTCCTCTGCCTTTATCTCTAGGAAAACAGAAAGCATCATGTCCATGAAGTCATGCTCAGCCTTTGCATTCCCACGATTACTTCTTTTGCTTGTGCTCTTCCAACCATCCTTGAAGGGCAACGTCAAGATCTTTAGACGTCTTCTTCATGGCCTTCTCAAACCCACCCAAATCTAGCCACCTAAGAAACGGAAGTGCATCCGAGATCACAAACTCACCCCCCAATTTGAAAAAATCCCTCAACCCCTTTCGACACCTCTCGTTCTCTTCCTCCTCTTGCTTTGTTTTTGCCCCAAGAAATCGTTTCCCCACAACCATCCTGAACATGACGTTCAAAGTCACGTCTCCAAACCACCTATTCATCTCCACCAACACTTTCTCTGACCTACCTTTGTTTTCCTCCCACAAATCATATATATGTTTTGTACAAGCTTGAACCTCATATCCAAGCACGCGCTTGAGCAACTGCAACCTGTGGTTTGAGAGGAGCTCCACGGTTGCTATCTTGCGCATCTGCCGCCAATAAGGGCCGTAGGGACTAAAACCAAACATGGCATAGTCATAGCCCATGATCTCTGCAGCCAAAAATTTAGGGCGGGTGGCAAAGTTTTTGTCATTGGTGGTGAAGAACTCTTTGGCTGTTTCCCAGTTGCTTACAACAAGAGCTCGGTGCACGCCTAGCTTGATTGTGAAGATTGGTCCGTACTTGTCGGCCATGTTGCCCAAGCTTATGTGGGGAGGCCGAGGCCCTCCTAGATAGGGAAGGTGTCCGATTAGGGGCCATGCGCCGGGTGCTTCCGGAGGTGCTCTCTTCTTGGCTATGTTAGTTTGGTAATATTTAGATATGCATAGGAGAGAGAAGAGAAATAGTAGAAAGGCAAAGATGATAGATGGAGAAGAAGATGTGAGATATGAAAGAGAGAATTCCATGGGTGCGCAGTTTCTTGATGGCAGAGGCAAATGAGGTATGGGAATGGTAACCACACAACAGGCAAACAGCGGACCAAAACTTCCATAAGAATAAATTAAAATATTCGTGTACGAGAAATTTGATTCATCTGATTGGCCAGTGACCAAAGTAGGTGACAAAATTTATCAGTGCTCAAATATAATGCTATATTGTAGTATGGGTGCTGACGTGGCAGTCAAACATTGGACAAATAGAGATAAGGTTTAAGATGAAGGGAGAATCACTATCAATCTTAATAATTATTGTTGGACTGTTCTTCAAAGGTGAATCGACCATTTGCTGAAGAGATTCAATGCATGTGTGTAAATAAGTGAAAACTGGTCAGTGGTCACCCACGGTAAAATAAAGGGAGATTCACTATTATACCTAATATGAGGACCCAAATTATAAAAATACCCTATATGAAATGGACTTTAGAAACACACCCAAAGCCCATTTATAACATGACAAAAAAGCTTTTAACTTCTTATAAATAACAAAACTGCCATCAATTTCTTAAAACAAGCACAACCCCAAAATCTCATAAAAATATCCAAAACACTCAATAGGGCATCAAAGTAATTTAATAATCAATATTAAATTCAATAAGGTCAACTGTTATTTTTTGGGTTTTTTTTGGGTTTGTTTATATAAATTCAATTGTGTAGGGTTTATTTATAATATTAGTCCTAGAAATGGGTATATCACTAAATATCTTTAAAATAAAATCCCACATTGACCCAGCACTATTCCCTTTGTTCCCTTAGTGATAATTAATACTTATGGTTTAATTATAGATGATCAATAATGTAAGTCAAAAAGATATTCCAATAATAGGACTACGATCGGGTGCGGGTTTCTTTCTCTTCTCTCTCTCCATAACATTTTTCATATAAATAACATGATGATGCTAACAACTTTCTTTTTTAGACCTTCTCCCTTCTTTTCATGACAAATGTCACTTTCCTAACACCTAAAACAATATCATTAATGCATCACACAAGTTAGTTTTTTGTTTTCCAAGTTTGCCTTTATTAAATATATTAGCTTTTATACTTCCTTTAACTTATCCAAATTTTGTTACAATTTCCTTAGCATATTGTTAAAAATTAAATAACAAAAAAACATCATTTAAAAAAAGAAGAAGTTTGTTTCATGACATTGTTATCATGAAAGTGATATCATCATTATTTTGTGTTTAACAAAACATACGTCCTCTTTGGAAGAAAAATAAATAAATAAATAAAATTTCATTTTTTATTTTCTTATTTAATTTTTTTAACAAGGTAATAAGAAAGTTGTAAAAACACTACCTTGTTATTAAAAAGAGTTAATACATTCAATAAGGGTAAAATTGGAAAACAAAAACTAACTTGTGTTATGCTTTAATGATATTGTTTTAAGTGTAAGGAAAGTGACACTTATCATGAGGAGAAGGAAGAATGTCCAAAAGAGAGGGTTAGAGAGAAGATTGCTAGCATTCCTTTTGCTAATAAATGGATTTGGTAATGGAAGTTTTGGTCCATCGTTTGACTTTTTGTCCCACTTTTTCATAGGAGATAAACCTCTATTGGAATTCAAGCATTAAGAATATGCAGAATTCTATTTTTAAGGCATTACTAACATGTAAGACTCTAGTTACATAAAGGAGCTGATTTTTTCATTTCTCTTTTGTCCACTTATACTCCTTTGTTTTTAATTGTTTTTTATATTGATGTTATATATATATATATGTTATTATGTTATTTTATTAGAAAAATTAGGTATTAAACATAAAAATCTTTACTAATGAGGATTTGATACCTAGAGTATTTTTGTTTGGGTTTTGATACATAGGAATCAAATTTTGTTTCAGATTTGGCCAAAGAGGATGCCCAGATTCGTTGAGCATGTCTAAATAATAAAGGTAAAATACAATTTTACCCTTTTTGTTTAAAAGTCTTCCAAAATAAGATCTCACCCTTTCTTTCTCTTTCTTGGATAGACGCGGCATAGCGACTGCCTCAAATAAAAATCCTCCATTTTTTTACCATTGTCCTAAATGCGTCTTAACTTTGTCTTCGACTATGTCTTTGTTTCCTTACATATCTCTCACTCTTTCTCTCACCCAATTTGCTCAGAGAAAATGGATGCCATAGATTTAGTAGTGGATCCGCTCATAGAGTTCTCCAAGGACAGCATTCGACTCGTCAAGCGGTGCCGCAATCTTGATCACAAGGGTAATTTTATACATATAAATATTCACATATGTATCTTTGCAGATCGGGTTTAATTTGGAAATTAGGGTTTTCAATTTTGTTATATGTAATTGATGGATTTGATGATCAATTGGGGTGTAGAGTTCGTAATGATGGGATTTGTTGGGTTCTTCATGAAGCTGATCTTCATCCCCATCAACAACATCATTGTTGGCAGGGGCGGAGCTACAGCCAGGCCTGCCATGGCCCTGGCCCCCCACTTAATTATTAATCTCTTGTAATATATTATAAAATATATGATATAGCAATACAATTACTGTAATTAGATTAGTGATGACCCTCCCAGTTGAAGATGAAAAACCTAGTAGAAGTGATTTTGAAATTTTGGCCCCTCCATACTAAGAATCCTAGCTCCGCCACTGATTGTTGGATCTATTTAGGTATGGAATTATATCTGAATCTTCGTCTGATCAAATTCATTGATTGAAATTATTGAGATTAATTTGCATGCATTTGATGTCTACTTGATTTTTTGTCCGTAATTTTACCAAGAATTTCATTTGCATTTTGTTTATTTTGTAAATACGAGTCTTTGAATATTAGGATTCAGATCAATTTGTCTTGGTTGAGTGCTTGGAAATTGAATGTGAAATTATGTTTTTTGTTCAATTTTATGAACGAATCCAAAATATGAAGCTTGCACATACAATATGTTTCAAAGGGTCTCTAATATTGAAATTCTTATCAAGTTTTTGTTTAGCTTTTTGGTGCATGGGTTTGAACTTTTTTTGGAAATGGTATTTCAAAACTACATTGTACAAGTTCTGCATTGCAGTTTTCATTGAATTATAATTGGATTTTTGCTCTTTCCTTGGCCTTCAACCTCACTAATTTGAAGAGTAGAGGCTACCCAGATGAGAAATTGGGTGGGCAAGATAATAGTAGAACTACCCAAGAGCAAGGGTGTTTGGGCCAAACTTTTGCACACCAGCCTATTTTGTTGAAAAGCCCACAAAAAAAACAAAACAATTGGGTTTTGTATTTATTGAAATTGGAAACCCAAAGTGTTGAAAAAGCCCAGACCATTCCCTGGACAGTTTTCAAAATATTACCAAGTTCTAAAAACCAATTACCATTATTGGAAATCAAATCTGATACACCCAACTTTGGTTCAAAAGGTCTAGCTTCTGAGAAATTCTCACCACTTGATCTCTATCCCAAAAAGGGAAGTTAGCAGATCTTTTTTCTCAAAAAGAACCCCCATGTGACTTTTTGATTTTAGAAAAGTCAAAATTTTCAACTATCTCAGAAGAAGTAAGAGGGAGTTAATGAAGACAAGTCTTATTGAAGAACTTCTCCACTTTGTAGCCAGGAAAAGAAGATCAAATTTGTAAAAAAAACTATGCACCAGAGTACGTTATATTTCCAAGAGATAAGTATGCTACATTTTCAAAAGATAAGTAAGGAGCAAAGGAGTTGTTCATCAGGAAAAGCAAACTAACCATTATGGCAAATTGCGGTTCTTGCAAGAAACAAGCCAGAGAAACCAGAAGAGTTAGCTTGCTTTTAGGAGGAAGCAGGGAAAGGACCATCATGGAAACTGACTATTGATGATTCTTCTCAGCCCAAAAAATAAATGAATCTTTTTGTAAACATTGAAAAGAGAAAAATCTTTTTGAAAGATTTGCTGCCTATTATTAAAGATTAAAAACCCCACTCCAGCATTTCTTATAAATATGAGAGGAGGTGAACATATCAAAGGACAACCAAAAAATCAATCAAGATAAAAACTCTCAAAGTCATACGGACAAAATCAAAAAGATCAATTGATATCAAGAAACCTTCAGACACGGAAGCAACCAAAAGCTCTTTGACCCACAAGAAACAAATCAGCTAGAATTCAAATATCTGGTTTCAGCTCAGTCTAAAGAAACAGTTTTACAAAGTGAGATTTCTCTCGTTACAAATTTGGTTTAGCACAACTCCAAGTCAAGCAGAGTCCGGGTTTTTACAAATATGAAAACCTCAACAAATTTACAGAAAGCCTCAATTAGGCAGAATAGGTACCATAGCACAGCTTCAGCTCAGTGACCATCAATCCAGCCACTTCTGTCCTCTTCAGACTAAAAATGCCTCAATTCTGCCCTTTCAACAAGCCTTCCATGGCTCGAAAGAAATTGAAGCTCTGCCAAACTCAAACGTTGGTATCGATTTCAGCTGAAACTCATCAGTTGAAGGTGTTGATGATTCAATATAGCATAGAAATATCCAGTCCAGCTTAGTTCAGAGGCAGTTATCTAGACAAAAATCGAAGTTCAACGTTCTGTTGTCTTTTTCAGAGTTGCAATTTCTCTTTTGAGTCCCGTAATAGGCAGTTCTACTTAAACAATTTGTCTTCTTTTCATCTATTTTGGCCAGAACTACCAGTTTTGTACTGTGAAAAACTTTGAAGTCCTCACTAGTCTGAAGCAAGAAAAAAACTTATTTGGGAGATATTCCTCACCCAAATTCACAATTGCTTGTTTAGAATCAGTAACTTGGGGCACAAGTTATCTATTTTTTAGAAGTCTGCTATGATTTTAAACTACTAGCATTAGCACGCTCACATACAAAAGAAAATTAACTTGCTGACCACCAGTGGTTGTCAAGCTAATGAGGAACTTTATCCTACCATCACATGATTAAATCAAAACGGGTGAACAAAGGGAACTCAAAATTGGACTTTTGGAAACTGCATTGCTAGAAATAGAGTATCTTACCAACATGTCTTGAATAAATAAAAAATGTAGTTTTGTTTTGTTTAACTCTAAAGCTGAGCATTTTTGCCCAAACTCAGCATTGTAGTTTCCATTTTTGTAATGCAATTTCCGTTTATGCATTGCAATTTCCGCTTCTACATTGCTGTTTCTGTTTCTGCATCACAGTTTCCATTTTAGTACTTTCATCTTAGTTCCTCCATTTTGCCTCAATAAAATTAATTTTTGTTTTTGAAGCTGTTTAAAAAATAATAATAATAATAATTGATATCTACATTGTATTTTGTTGTTGTTTCTGTTTTTGTGTGCAGTTTTTGTGAGTATGTGTTGAAATGATTTTTTTATTATTTTTTATTTTTATAAATCGTTGATTGTTTATATAAATATTGTATAACTGAATAAATATTACAAAATAAAGTTTGGTGTAGTGGTTTGTGAGTGAGCCTTCCTCCTTCGAGGGTCAAGGTTCAAGTCCCTTTAATGATACAAAATCTTTTTATAAAAAGGGTTCAGGGATAATTTAATAGTTTTGATTTGTTGTTACTGCATTAATTTTAGGGATAATTTAATATAATTATTTACTGATTTTTCCTAACATGTAGGAGTTTATTTACACACCCGTTCCAATTGCTTCATGATCAATCTTTAATGTATGATAAGTTGAAGACAATGTTGGTGTTTCTTGCTCTGTTTTGATGGCAGTTTGGTTTGGTGTGTAATCATTTCTTCATAATATTCACTATAGAAGATGTCATTTCTATAGTGGATTTGTAGGGGTTTTTTTTTCAGTGCAAGCAAACACAAGGGCAGGTAGAACTTAGAAGGCCGGTGATTAGTATGATTTTATGTTGTAAACTCAAAGTACGTTTTCTACTATATACACGGGTACATTTTCAATCCTAATTGAGAATTTGGCTTCCCCCTTTGAACTTATTTCTTCTTAGCTAAAGTTCGATGACTAGAATTCAACTAAACAATGAAATTTTTTACAAACAAATGGAAATTTACATAATCAAATAACTATATGCAATTGCATGAACGTTGGAGCTCCTTGCATGCCCAGCTTGATTGTGAAGATTGGCCTGTACTTGTCAGCCATGTTGCCCAAGCTTTTGTGGGGAGGTCGTGGCCCTCCTAAATAGGGAAGGAGTCCGATTAGGGGCCACGCACCGGGTGCTTCCGGAGGCCCTCACTTCTTGGCGGCGTTATTTTGGTAATATTTAGATATGAATAGGAGAGAGAAGAAAAAAAGTAGAAAGACAAAGATGATAGACGGAGAGGATGTGAGATATGAAGGAGAGAACTCCACGTATGGCATTTTGTTGATGGCAGAGTCTAATGAGATATTGGAATGATCCTTCAATTTTAAATCTCTTCTTTTGCATAGAGATTTTGATCTTATTAGGGACTATTTTTACTGTCCATCATATTCCAGAATTTTGATTGTTACAGAACCTTCAGCTATGCCCAAGCTTATTTACAGAGTCCATGTGTAATTAATCTCAGTCCAACGTCCAAACATGATCAGTGATCAGCCATAAAATAAAAGGAAAAAGTAAATTAAAATGAAAATAAAATAAATTCCAGAACCATACAAGCTATGCCACACAACTCAAGAACCTTCTATCATGCCCTCCATCAAGGAGTTGTAAAGAGCCCCAGCTTGCATCTGGTTACCCACCGTTTATTTTTTTTTATCTCTGTGATCCTGAGAAAATAATGGACCATCTAACATGGCTATATCTCCAACATAAAGTCGTCACCAGCACCTCTTCATTTTCTGACGAAAGAAACCCCCTTCTGAATGCTTGATTCCAATTCTTTCTTTGCCTTCTCCAAGCCAGCCCTGTTTTGAAAAATGTCAAACTTGTCTCATATAGAGAAATAAGATAAGTCAATTGCAAGGGTTCAAAACAGGTAAAATTACAGACCTCTCGTACTCATTCAGGGGGCCAAGAGGATATATTTCCTCAACTCCAATACGGCCAAGCCTTACCTTGGATGCAAAGAAGGGAAGTTCAGTCACCTACAACACGCATGCGTGCCTTGTTAGGTCAAATACAATAGAAACCAGTTTATGATTTTAGATAAACCTGTTCAGACAACGCCAAATGAAATGATGATAGTAACATGCCTGAGAAGCCACAAATGCACATTCGACAACGCTGGCATCTCCTCGCAAGCCACGGAGGCATGCATCTGCAAATTTAACAGCAGCATATGCCTGCAATTTTCACTTACTGTAAGATTTAAGCAGGTTGAAAGTCAAAACAGCTAGAAAACAAGGATTTACGAAGAAATAACGGGAAGAAAGAGAACTTATGAAAGCTAACTTTTATAACTAACCATTGATAATGTTGCAGAACCAGCTCCAGCTTTGGCCTGAAACAATGTCAAGATGGAGCATAAGATGGCAAAGAGTTTTGAAGCTAGGCACTATTCTTTAAACTAACTTTCTAAGATTCAATCGTGATACAGAAGATGCATCAAACTAAAGCGTAGTGTTAAAGAAGGTTACAGTATTGAGCAGAGATGGTAGCCTAAAGCCAAAAAAGCAGGGTGCCGCGCTACTATCAAGCCCAAGAGATTGCTCAAAGCCTAAAACTATACAACCCGTTCCTTGCCTAATATCAAATGACTACTTCAGGAATCTACGCCTACAAACTCTGAAGAAATAGCAAAAGTGATCAATATCCTGCAACCCTTACAAAATTTTTAATTTTGAAGTAATCTCTTCACAAGAGCAAGCCTGTGACACCAAGCACCCCTATCTTACACTGTCATTTGTATAATCTATTTTCCATACCCTGATTTGCACCTTTCTATAATTATAAAACCAAGAAGGTACTCGACATAGAAAGAGTCAGCACCTAATGCTCATTTAATTAATTGTATAGCATCTGAACAAACAGGAAGGTAACTACATAAATAATGGAAGGTTTTTTCATACAGCTACTCTTTTGCTGTATCAGCATTCAGCGTACTGCACAGAACTTTAAATTTTTTTCCACACTGTCTGGTGCAAGATCATAACTACTTTCTCACATTATTTTCTTTCAAACCATTCTTTAAAATTCTTAGAAAGACAACAATTTAATAAACAAATAAGAGTGCAAAGCCAGGGACAGTTCCCTTCACCTAGGAATAATGCATATAGCCTGGACTTATGACATGATTAGCGCAATATGCAGCAACAACTCAACAAAACAAGCACTGGTTACTCACCTCAACAACCTCAGTTCCACCATTCTGAATGCGATCTGTTAGGTAATCAACTTCTTTTGGGGTGAAAGAGCATGGAGGCTTAACCTGCATAAAACAATAACAACAATGAATTTAACTCAACTCTATACCAACACACACATGATTGAGAATCTAAAAACAAGCTGTCCTGAACCTGAGACAAAAGAGGCAAAATTGTAACCCCTGCATGACCCCCAACAACAGGCACATTAACGTCCCTAGGATCAAGCCCCAGAACCTCTGCCTGCAACAAAATCACACACTCATGAATTATAACCAAGATGACCAATTGGGTAGTAATGAAACATGAGAAAATTTTACCAAATGCATACCACAAAAGTATTGGCTCTAACAACATCAAGCATGGTGACACCCAATAGCTTCTTAGGATCAAAGGTGCCAGCTTTTTTGAAAACTTCAGCTGCAATGGGAACAGTGGAGTTCACAGGGTTGCTAATCACGTTGACAATGGCGTTTGGACAGCACTTAGCGATTGCTTCACTAAGCGTCCTGACGATTCCGGCATTGATGTTGAACAAATCGTCCCTTGTCATGCCTGGTTTTCGGGGCACGCCGGCGGGAATGATCACCAAATCCACTCCGGTCAGCGCTTCCTCCAGCTGCTGCTGCCCCAAAAATCCACGCACCTACAAATCCAATCACCCAATCTTTGAAATTTTTAGAAATTCATAAATTTGGGAATTGTAATGAATGAACCAACGAAATTGAAATTTGGGAACTTACGACGGCGCCGGTGTCCATGTGGCTGATATCGGAGGTGACGCCAGGGGTGTTCACGACGTCGTACAGATGGAGAACGGAGACCAACGGGTTCATCTTCATGAGCATGGCGAGAGGCTGTCCTATGCCGCCTGCTGCTCCGAGTACGGCTACTCTGAAACCGGCGGCGCCGCCCTTGGCGCGGCAATTCAAGCGGCTGACACTGGCAGTATTCTCCATGTGGAGATCTGGAGGGTCGAGATGAGCGGAGATTCTAGCAATCCGTTGATTCACGTTTTTTCCTGAGCTAGGCTGCATCGTGTATTTTTAGAATTTGATCTGATCGGCGATAAATAAATGAAAAGAGGGAGAGAGCGAGAGGGGGAGGTTGATGATGAGTGATGACGTTAGAGCTTCGCAGAGAAATTGGGAAGTGCGGAAAATGGAAACTAATCTTATCTCAAACTAATCTTCTTGGGATTGTTTGATGATCCGAACTTTCTGACTTTCTGATGCCAAGTTTTCATAAAGGACGAACGAAGGCAAATATTATACATTTCTTTTGGACAAGCGGCAACTTCCTCTTTTCTATTTTTCACATATCATATGCCACAGAAAACAGGAATTTCATGGTGGCAGTTTGTGTCGATTTAACTTACTTGACTCATTTTACTTGACAAAAAATTGTCAAAATTCCAATGAACTTGTATCCAACTTCGAAAGTACAAGGTTTAATTAAGAGTAAGGTTAAAAACACCAGATTATGTGTTGATCTGTCATTTATTCAAATTCGGGGTGATGAATAGACACATCATTTGATGAATAGACTTTGGCAAAGAAAGTTTGTGCCTCTTTAAATTCAAGGGTTGCATCTAAGTGTGTAATATACTCTTTTGAAAATAGTAACTTTCAAATTATTTTCCTTTCTTCAAGATATAAGATTGCGAAACCAACACTATTGGGGTTAAAGAAAATGCTTTTGATTATAATGTAGTGTAATTTGTTTTTATTTTATTTATAAAAGCGATATTGCCAATATCATATTGTCATATTAGAGGTGTCATTCTATAAAAGGCCCTTAAATGCCCTATTTCTTAACCGTTAAATCAAATTGGAGATAGAAATGTTTTTTGCATATTGGAGATGGAAAAATCGAATCTACTAATTTCTTAAACCCAACAAGTAAGACACCCCTGAAGATGCCTCACATTTAGGTTGGGGCCTATCCTTAGTAAGCCTGCCCTTACTGCCAACCAACCCAAGGACGAAACTCATTTTTGAAAAGTTGTGGACATACCAGACCAGTCCAGCCCATGTTGGTTGTTAACAAGTTTAGGCCAATTAGGCTAATGGTTTAGTATTCTTCTTGGGCCCGTTTGGCCAGGTGCCAAATGTTTAGCTTCCCTGAAAAACAAAATGAATGGAAGACCCGGAAAAGAAAAGAAAAAAAAGGATGTAAAAAAGAGGAAAGCAGTTGAAAGATACTTATATATGCATATATCTTTTGCATTTGTCTTCCTGTGCTCCTTGATAGGAATCGGAAAGAGGACAATGGCCTATCCTTTTTTACCTAAATTTTTCAGTACCCAAGTAAATAAAAATGACTAGCCTAAGATGTAATTAAAACGAATGGTAAAATATCAGAGATCTCAAGTTTGAATCCCCACGACATCATAGTTTCTTGTGTGTGTGCGAAATTCCCTCTCTTGTAGTTTAGACTATTGCTTATACTATAATTAAAAAAAAAATTACGACGGTAAAAGACTAAATTGGGAGCACAAGGCTGTGAACTATTTTGTCGGTCCTTTTGTTTCAATGGGGAGGACTCAGAGGCACTAAAAAGCACTAAAAAAATAATGAGCTTCTAGAAAACAGCAGGACGTCGCTTTTGGTGTCTTATATTGTGGAGAACGCTGTGATGGGTTTGTTTGAAAATGTTGGTAGAGAATCATTGACGTTTAAGGCACAACACCACCACCCTTTCATTGTCATGAATCATGAATCATGATCATCAAGCTGATATAATGGATATGTCTCTCCTTAACTATTTCACCAATGTGAATTCAGAATGTCTCAGTTATTAATTATGCCATCTAAATGCACTATAAGATATTTTTCGCTTTTTCTAGACTTGTTAGACTTTAAATTTAACTGGTTGAATATTTATCATAACACGTTAAGTAAAAGTTTGATTTCTGTCATTTCACTTTCTTGAATTGTAAAAAAGAAAACTCTATGAATGTTTCAACACAAAGAACATCTAGAAGCTACAATCTTAGGAATCCCTAATTGTGGTAAACATGTGTAAGGATAGTAACTTCACTCATCACTTTTGACCATAGTGTAACATTTTCTTTCTTCTCAACATGTTACGCGTATTGATTTTAAACTATATAGTTATAATTTCATGATAAAGGCAATACACATGTTATTAGTGATTACACCATTGTTAAAAATGATTAGCAATGTATCTCAAGATGATAATTTTTTTTTATGTGAAAAAATAGTTGTAGATAATACTAACAAATCTTGTGAAACATGACTCAATGAATGTTCACATCCATCTCCTTTAAAGTGAAAAGTTCAATTATTATCTCCCCTCATCAAGACTTACTTTTTTGGATTCCTACATACATCAACTTGATGAGTTTAATTAAAGTTGCATGGAAAATGCATGAATCGTTGGGGCAGCGTAGTGTGACTTTGGGAATAATTAAATACCAAGAAAGGGAACACTTCCTATCTTACCAGAAAACAGACCAAAGGGTAAGTTGAAAAGGGTGTTTCACCGGCCACCCAAACGTCCATAAATCCAAATGGCTTGCCAAATTTAGCCGCTTGGCCAAAGACAAATGCTTCATCTTCTATCTGGGCCCAGTCTATATAACCCCATCTCTCTCTCTCCCTCTTCTTTCATTCATTCACAGCCTTCTCTCTCTCTCTCTCTCTCTCTCTCTCTCTCTCTCTCTGTGAAAAAGAGAACAAGAAAGGACGGAAGAGAAGGAATAAGTGGTGGGGTCCAGCTGCTGGGCAAGCAAAGTCATCAGAAATGGCTCAAGACATTGAAGACAAGAAGCACTTGTTTCTCAACCACTCATTTCCATTGCCATTTCCCAATATGTCAAGTGCACTGGCCAAACTGCAAATGAAGAGGTACCCTACAGTTGAAGACATTCCATTGGGGAATCAGAGGTCACTGTCAAACAATCCCAAGAAGAATGAAGAGTGGTAGCAGATCAATTAATGTAACTCATCCCTTCTTGGTTTGTGTAGAGAGAAACCAACTCAACACCATTCCTTGATAGAACGTTTTAGAGGCAGACAGGATGGAGCCAGGCAATTCTAGTTATAGTTTTCTCATGTACCTTCTATTTGGTAAATTCCACAGTAATTCTATATTTTCTTACTCCTAGAATCTAAGATTTTCATATACCAACTACCCTTTTTTTGTTTGTGGCTCTTCTAACTTTTATGAATCTAAAGGAGGTCATGGAGAAGGAATAAGATGGTTGAAGTGGTGGAGGGTCATCGTCTTCATGGGTGAAAAGTTCATGGGAAAGTATATATACATGGAAGTGATCTGAAGAATTTGGTTCATGTATTTAAATGGGATCTTGAATTTTTCACTTTGTAATGAGATGCTAGCTGCTTCTGCTTTAATTTGCTGCAATTTTGTTTTCTACTGATCTCCTTTGGGATTCATTTGTTTAGATACATAATTAGATCTTCTATACCGATCTGTTCTGGCTTCTCCATCTCATTTCACTCATTTGTTGTAATGATAGCTGGAATGTAATGAATTTGAGGCACTTATGGCTACATCTATCCAATTATATATCGCATGATTTCATTGTGTTGGTTAATGCATTTGTCTAGATGATTATACGATGATCAGTGTGATTTCGTTTAGATATGGCATCGTGTTAGGTTTTAGTATGTATAATCAGATGGATTCCTCAGGATCAACTTTACAGTCTATGATTTTCCCCAGGAAGTTTGCTTGAACCCCTCTCCCGCCCTCTACCGGCGAGAAAATTCAGAACTGAATTGATGTTTAGGGAAAAGATTGTTTTGGTATTACAGTACCTGATAAATTAAATTCTATATATTCTGCCGATAATCTTTTAAATATCGAGAATGTACTAATTACTGTAGATTGATTCCTACAAACATAAGGTATACATTCACATTTAGACTTTACATTAGCACTTTCGCCTGCATTGTTTATAGGACGATCAGTTTTACTTTTTAAAGAACAAACATTGTTGCTAGCTACCGACACTTTTGGGATTGCTACTCTCAAAGGAGAACTGTGCATTTCCAGAACTCAAGTTTTTTGTTTTGTTTTTGTTTTTGTTTTTGTTTTTGTTTTATAATAAAGTAGGTAAATTTATAAACCATGAAGCCTAAAATATGTAAATGCTTCTGTTAGCGACAATATTGTTGCTTCCCTGCAGTTTCCAGCTTCTTCATTCGTTCAAATATTTATGCAGTACATGCTTTTCCTTCATGGGTTTCAAGGTTTCTTGGTTCTCTTTTAAACAAGTTTCGTTCCGACTTCCGATCATGAACTTTGTTGTTTATTTGACCCTTTTGACATTTGAAATTGGCTCACTGGCACTGCGCACGTGTAGATAATGAAGACAATTAGTGTAACATTAGCATAATTATTTTCCTTGATGACTAGACTATAATATTATCGATGGGTGTTGGTAGTTGCTTGCTTGCTCTGTTGAATCCGTGTGTTTCTAGGGCAGTGCGTATATGTTTTCCTGTCTGGCATCTTTCTTTCATGTTAGGTGTTTACTATTCCGCGGGGTCAAGAATTACGGCAGTTTCTAATTTTAATTTACAGTGATATTAGGAACCATTTTGCATAGGATGCTCAACATGCATATGCAATGTGGGAGCTTAATTATAGTTCTATGGACTTGTTTGGTGGCTCAATCAGCGCTCAGTTGGAATTGATTTCAAGTAAGTTCTTATGAATCTTATTCATTTCAATGAGACTTGTAAGACACAATATGTTCGTCAAACAACGATCATCACACTGTCAAATTTAATTGAAATAGTTCATTGCATTTCGAGCCACCAAACAAAGTCATATATACTACTGGTATATTAAAGACATTTATCCTTCCACTATAATTAGAGTTTAAATTCATCCTACAACCCTTTTGATTTAAAAAGCCAAAAAGAAAGAAGGATTGTGCAATTATATGTTATTAAAAAAAATGCAAAGTTTCATATTGCTTTACCATGTCATTACGTAATTTGGAGTAGAGCATCCTTTTGTTGTGAAGCATCTACTAGTAATTGATTATTAATATTTTATTTTATTTTCACAAATTACTTGTGAAAAGATAAAAGATTTGTATTACATTTAAGACCTATATTTTCATTCTTTGACAAATCACGTGATAAGAAATAAACAAAAATTTATATACATTTAATTACACCAAAATTTTTCTCTTGTTTCATAGAATTGATAAAAGTCAATAATAAATTGGCAAGACTTTTACTATTAACAATTAGCCTTAAAAGTATGCAAAAGTCATTCATTTAATAAGCTTTTTAAAAGTCATGTTACTCTTACCACATTTGTATATTATACTCTCATACCACCTTATGTGACAGATAAGGTGGACAACCATATCAACTAAAATTAATTTAACTTTTTTTTTAATGATTTATTGACACTTTTAATTGATGTGGCTATCCACGTCATTTGTTATATAAGGTGGTATGAGAATGTAGTATACAAATGTAGTAAGAATAGCATATGTACACACAAAACCTCTTGTTTCGATAAATATGTGCATGTGTTTGAAGAGGATTGAGGGTGTGCTCAAGACAGAATGCCTTATAAGTGAAACATAATAATAATTAGTACATTACAATCTGTTTGAATTGAATTAAATAAAAAGTAAAAGAATTTAAAAGAACATCATCTGCAGCTGCCATAACATTAGGAGACAATCAAGCATTTCAGATATATATTGTTAATTTTTTGATTTATAAAAGATAGAAAATTAAAATCAGAAAGGAAAAAAAATCCAATGGGCACACACGCACGTGAAAGGGGCTGGTCTCAATTATGCTAAGGTACATGCTTATAACGAGCCCCACCAAACATGTCATGAACGTCCCAATTATCCAAGCTAAACCAATTCAAATTATTTGAGTGATTTTGCACCATCACCGGTTCAATTACTGTTGGGCCCATGACCCAGCCCTCATCTTGTGCTAGTAGTATCATATCCAATGGGCTTTAAAGTGGAATTTTAATTAAAAATGTCTGGTTCTCTTTTTGTTTTTTGGTCGAAAGTTGATATTTAATAAAACAAGAACCTCACCCAAAACGAGGAGAACCAGAATTACAACACCGGCAATCCAGTAAGGATGCACAACAGAATAACTACTGTGGTATCACATGAACAAGAACAACAGTAACTAATCTCTGGTTCTCAATATCCACAATTCCTTCACATGTGATAATGTGGCTAGACTATGATCTAAAATGCCATTCATTTGATTGGTGTTAGCAGTTTCTGAAGCTTCTTCTCTTGGGAGACTTCGAAGAAGACTTGTGATGCTTTTGAGTCCATCAAAGTCTAAAGCCTAAGATTTGTTGAAGACTTTTTGTGTTAGGTCGGGCCCAAATTGAGACTTTTGTTTGTGTTTTATTAGGTTCCTGGTGGCGCCCTCTGTATCTCAGAGGCCAACTTTTTGACTAATCCTTGGTTAATAGTTTCTGTGCTCATTAAATATGAGATAGGGATTGCCACTTCCTTTTTTTTAAAGTACAAGTGTTTTTTATTTTTTTTTTATCTTTTTTTTTTTTTTTTTTTCGGGACGAAGTACAAGTGATAGTCCAAACTAGATTGATAGGGGGCTTTTTATACACACACTATTATGGTGCTATGAGACTGTCACCTTTAATTAGTACTTAGTTTTGAATTTCTGAATGTAGCTATTTTTTTCATACAAGCGGTATTAAAAGAGAAGGAATTCGAACACTAACCTGGTATGACTATAAATTAGTTAAGACAGAATTATAAACGCACTAGATGCAATGCATTTTTTGAATTTGAAATGCATTTATTAAATTTCCCTCTTATGCAGACATTAACGGTGCGTTTGGATGAGGAAATTTATAAGTACAAAGGATTTCATAAATGACGGAAGTTAATGTTCTAGAATTTGTAAAGTTTCTTGTTTGGGTGATGGATTTAAAACACGGAATTTAACATTTATTTGTAAAGTTATCTTTTTTAAAAACTCAATCTCTCTTGGGATTTTAGAAATGACAATTTTTATATATAATTTAAAGTTGAGATTTATGATCTTCAAATTCCATGTTTTTTCTCACGCGGAATTTCTAAATTTCTATGTTTTTTTATCCAAACACGGGAATTGATTTATGTCAATTTAGAAAATTCTGAATTTTGTCAAAATCCCAAGTTTATTTCCCTCATCCAAACGCACCGTAACTTAAAGTTGAATGAGTCAATTGAACTAATATCTTATATGTTTGGATTTAAACTTGCTATTCAAATAGACTCTAAATTTCTGTTAACAAATTTGAACATGGGAATTCTTTCAACATTAGTAAGAGAATTACCACCAAATTAGCTAGTTGGTAAAAAGAACAATTTGTAAATTACTCAAGGATTGATACCTTAATTAGCATAAAAATTCTCACTTTAGAAGTGTCAAAAAACTACACACGATGACAAGAACAAATTACCAGATATGAAAAATTATCTGATTTCATCTGTAACCATACACACCTCATATCTGCCCAAGTCACCAGTCAAATATGCTTTTTAAGTTTTTATCGTGACAAAAAATAAAACATGATTTGCCGAAAGTAGTGTGTCCGCAAGTCAATTAGTCGCCCGACACTTCAATTTGGACTGGTTGACTGGAGAGTCCAACTCTTTGTTAGTAGCTAGAAGCAACAGTACCCTAATTACCATTTGTAATAAAATATGTCATTTCAATTAAAAATAATTGGCTGAAGAAGCTACTGTACTGTGATGGCCTAGTGGGTTTGAAAACTTGACCTCTGAAACAATGAAATGGATAGAAACCCCAAATGGGTGTGTTAGCTTACCTACCTTGGCTTTATCACCAACAAACCAGGACCCACTAGAAAGTGATCGCACATTATAAACACTAGGATAAAATTATACAGATCAACCAACAAAAGGTGGTCCAACTATGTTA